ACAACAACAACACCGATAATTTATGGCCATTGGTCAAGTTACAAACTATGATTGTGTTTTTGAGCTCGGCCAATTATAAGTGTCAACAGAAGCACACAAACCCCTCTTGGTCATTCCCTTGTATGGTTGACTTTGTCTTTTTGAGCACACAAACTCAATCTAACTTAAATGTTCACTTTCAAAAGTTATGCTCTTCTGCTGAGGAAAATTACTATTCATATTCACCTGACCAACGATTTTCTTACCAGAAGAAGTCTGACAGAAGCAGCCTCCAAATGCTTGTTTACAGGACTCTTACTGGAAACATCACATAGAATACATCGAACATGCTCTGAGCTGAATATATTATAAGAGCATTTTGAAGAGAGTGTTCGTAAAAACTCAAAATTTTGATGTTTCTCCCCAATCATATTCAGAAATGTGTCCTGAAATAAGACAACAAATAACTGGATAATACAATTTCTTAACGAAGAGAAAAACAAAAAAAAAAGTAAAAATATTATAATTTTGTTACTATCAGGTTTCTTAATCATAAAGAAGAAAAACACCAATGAAAAAGGAAGACCATTGTTTGACACCATCTCATTAGTAACCAAATTGAAATCCAAGTTTGCCCCACCACAATATAAAACAACTCCCATCAAAATTTCAAGGAATCAAATTAAAGAAACAAAGCCAGTTTAGGCACACAAAAAGCTGATCACCCTTGACCTAAGTTTTTTCAACCCAGAACTTCTCATGGGCTTAACCACCTAAGGCTTTTAACATCCATTCAAATGCTTCAGCTGAACCCTAGGGACATGTGGGACCTCACTGCTGAAAGCTTAATTAATGGACCCAGGACTTTAAACGAAGAGAGAGGAGGGACAGAGAGGGGCTGGGATGAGAGACCAGGGTGAACTTATACTTGGTTTTAAAAATAAACTTAAAAAATTCTTTGAAATGGGGTGGCCTGTAGCCCACCCAAACCACCACTTGGGTCTGTAGCTGCCTCTTGCACGGACAATTATGAGTGGAAATTCTCTTAGCATGGATAAACAAGTGGTCTTCACATAATTTAGGGTAAGACCAGAGAATTTGAGAATGTGTTTCTGGGTTTCCAGAAAAGCTTTGGATAACTCCCCCATACTACCATAGTTGCATGATTAAACTAAACCCCATTAAGCCTTTTTCTCAGAACATGATTTTTCTATGTAAATCAAGTTCTGCCTCTCACAATATTGCTTCATCTGTTAAAGTTTTGCGTAAGTTAAAAATTGAACCATATAAGTGAAGCGCAGTGCAAAGAAACACACACACACAAACACACATGTGTGTTCCCATTATCATCTATTCAAACTTTTCCACAACTGTATTTTGGTAAAAGTTGACAAGTTTTTTGGTAAAAAAATTTAACACACGGAACAGCTGAGAGTTGAATGACTATTATTTCTCATTCAATATAAAACCACAATAATATCTAATGGCAACATCTGATAACCTCAATGCACACTGAAGATGTGCAGAAGTGGTTAAAAGAGGAACAAGGGCATCCAAGGGATAATTTAATTAAAATAAAGGGTAAATATACGCACTCTGCTGGTCCGGGCATCTGTAAATTGTAGTTCATCCAATAACAGCGCCAGCGAATTAAAAATGTTATTATCTTTCATTTGGTTCAATTTGTGAAAGCACTCTTCCGCTTTTGAAGGGTCTGCAAAGGAGACTGCCATTTTCAAGAATGAAACTTTATATCTCTTCTGCATCTCTTCTGAATTATTACCCTGCAACATAAAGACAACTGTTTCAATTATTCAAAACAATTAATAGATAGTGCACAATGCATTCACAAGCTATATATCAGCCCTACTGAGCAAGTGCGATTTTCAATTATTGTACCTTCTCTTTCTTTCGTATGGCTAAATAGGTTCGCATCTCGCTTTGCAACCTATAAAACATTTGCACCTAGTAAAGAAACAGGATAATCGCCTCAACCTTAGCAAGAGCAAGTTAGTGATAATACCGTTGTTTCTGTGATAAAATTGAGTTCAAAGCCTTTATGTGAAGAGGGGTGAAAAGAGAAAACAAGTGGATCCAGTGCCGTGTACGTTCCTCAACTGAAAGAACAGCTGGAAATAAATCTTCTGCAAGAACAAGCTCCATATTCTGGGACCTGAAGTAAAACAATAATGATAATGAATGATAATAGTTAAATACAACATTGTAAAGCATTGATTTGGGTTTAAAAAAGCTATAACATATGAACAAACTGACCTGAACTCCATACAATCTTTATCAAAGCAGAGCATCAAGATTTTACATGGAATCTGTTCAAAGTGATCACTTATTGTCATGTAGCCTTCAGAACATTTGTTACAGTAATCTCGATATACTTCCATCATCTTCTGCAGCGCCTTCTTTCTAACAGGTATCTGCAAATAAAGCAAACAATTACAAATACAAGACAGTAACTGTAACTTAGCAAAATGAAACTATTTGTTGTAGAAATACCTTCTTGTCCCGAAGTCTTTCAGTGGTTTGAGATATTAGTTTTGGAGGAAAACATCTCATATTATACATGGCAAGATCGCAGGCAACAATCACTGCCTGTGTTCTCACTCTATCATCAAAATCTAGTAGTCGACCTTCAAGAGAAGCTGCTTACATAACAAAGAGTATAAATAAGGTTCCAAGAACTCAGAACTCATACAGGAAAACATATATGTTCCACAACTTACAGAGAACTTCTTGTGATTCTACTCCAGAGGGATTGGTCATGTAGCAGACTTTAGCACATTGTAGAGCACTAACTCTAACTTCCGCAGATTTATCAGAGAATCTTTTCAAAAACTCTATGAAGAGGTCCTGATACCTTTGGGCAATATGGTGAGCAGGAAGTGTAAAGAGTTTCCCAATTAAATTAACAGCTTTCAGTCGGACATCAACCTGATCAGTCTGCAGAAATAATCAGAGTCAAGTGGTATTTAATGATCCCTCTCAAAGTGCAGTACGCCAGGAGCACAAGAGAACTATTTGAAGAGAGAAAACGAAAGCCTATGCCAAGAGATGATTTTTTTTAAAAAAATTTAAATGAAGTTAGCCGAGAAGACATACCAGTAATTCTTGAGTCAAATTTGGGATGACAGCAAGAAGCATCTGAGGAGCACACTTAAAAATCTTAAAAATGATATCATGGTAAAATTCCTTGAGCTCACTTCCTACAGCATCTCTATCTAAAATACAAGATGTTAGAAACCCACAAACAAAGGACTCAAGTTTGTCTGCGCAAGTTTGAATCACAGAAACTGCAAGTTGAGAAGAAGCAGAGTCTGCATCCTGTAAAACATAACATAGGACTAATTTATCATACGAAAGAATGTTTCTAGAATCAATTTGAAGCATACACTCTCTAACACTCACCTTTCCCTCCTTCACAAGATTCTGGAGAACCACATCCAAAAGTGGCTGAGAAGCTTCTTCATTAAGTATATGAACCATTACAGACAAAACATCATTGATCAATGTCTGTTGATGATGTACCCTACAGGGAAAAATTAAAAGCCATTATGGTTGATGTCATCAAAGTTAAGCCCAAACTTACATAAATTAAAACATAACAAATTGGGCTTAATAAATTTCATGGACACTCAGATTTCAGATACTTATAACTTGGTAAAACCTACAATAAAACCTGTTCTAAGTTCTAACCATCTAAGTTGCACGGCAAGCATGCAGTTATAAATTTCTTTTTATTCCATGGAAGTGGATATCTAGTCGTACAATGTAACAGGATAAGCGTTGATTCCTTCACATTTATCAATTAAGAATAGCCCAAATCATCAAAATGCACAATAGGGTTAATTAGAAAATTAAAAGTGAAAAGTAAAGAAGTAGCAAGAAAAAGTCATATACTAGAAATGCAGATAAAGGATTGTAACCTCACAACAGAGAAGAAAATATTGAACATCTCGAGAACTAGATCACTGCAGTCAATATCCAACATGATCACACAACATTTACATCGTGCAACAGTCTCTACTATCTTAGCCCTCCTTGAAAATAGTGGGCTCGCGGTATCAGCTAGCTCCGTGAACGTGCTGAGAATGAGTTTAAAAACGTCCTGAACGAAAGAAGTGTATAAACAACTTGCAATGGTGAGTACAAAGCAAAATCTGACATGGGCAGACAGCAGATATACGCAGAGAACTTTACCCTGAGATACTTGTCCACGAAAGGCGGTTCGGGTGCCATAACTCGAAACATTTCAGTGACGCAGATGGCCACCAGAAGCCTGACATCTTTATCTCTATGCTGAAGCAAGCCATGGACAATAGCTTCGGTCAAGGGCTTCAACTTCTTAAGAACTTCTGGTGAAGAAGCCTGTTCTAACTGTGACAAAGAACTGGCAGCTTGCTGTAAACCGAAGCATACAAAACAAGCAAAACCAAATGATCAATCGCAATTGCTATGCCAACGAAATAATAAACAATTCAAACACAAACCCACGCAAATAAACAGAGCTACATTATCAATTTCCATTGCTACGTAAAGAAAAATGGCTTACTCGGAGCGATTTGACAATGAAATCCTTGTTTGGGCGAGCTTGACGGCGGAGATTGGTGCCGATTTCAGAAACGAGTTGCAGCGCGGACTGGTCCATCGACTCAGTGAATCGGCGAAAAACCCTAATGATTCAGTGGAGGAGGTTGAGGGTTTTGGCGGTTATGCAATACACGGGCATTTGCTCGAAGACGAAAACTGTGATCTCAAGTCTAGAGAGAGAGAGGGAGAATGAGAGAGAAAGAGCTAACAAGAAGGTGAGTCTTGAGAGAGTGGAGTGGGCATAAAGTGGGGGAGACTCCCGCCTTTGGTGCGCGTGAAACAAACGCGCCTAACCTGCAAGTGATACGGGAGTTGGAGGTATTTACCGCCCAAATGAAAATTGGTGGGCTTTGGGTTCTATGTCTACCCACCTCGTCCTATTTTAAACGGGCTCTGGGGTTCTACATACACCCACCTAGTCTCTCAGCCTACTGCCTACCCTTGGATAATTTTCACCGAAATCTCTCAGCCTACCCCCCAAATCCCTTGTCCCCCCCCCCCCCCAAACCCCCATTCCTACACCACCTGTTCTTCGATCCCGCCATCACTCTCTTACTCTCTCCAGTCTTCACTCCACTTGTAGAAGCCTTTTTCTTCTTCTCCAATCCACCCATTCGGCTGACACAGGTTCGTTACTTCCTTCTTCTATATTTCTTTTCTTCTTCTTCTTCTTCTATCCTTTCTCTTCCTCTGTTTCTAATCTTCAGCTTTTCTTATTCTTCTCCCCAGCTCTCTCTCACTCTTGTCTCTCCACCAGAGCACCAGAGACTCAGCAACCCAGGTAATCTTTTGTTTTTGAATTTCTGGATTGTTTTTTCCTGATAAACTGGAAGGAGGGTATTGAAGAAATCACATTTGGGGTTTAAGTTTAATTTATGTTCTCAATTTCAATTATCCATATGGGCTCGTATTGAGTATTTGTAATTGAGAAATAGTGTTACTCTAATAATTACATTTTTATCTCTAAATTCTGGTTCATATGTTTTTGTGTTGTGCACTTGAGCATGATTGCAGATATTGGTATTTAATTTGTGTTCAAGTAAATTTAGAGTTGTTATATATGTGCATGTTCTGATCATGTTGCTTGGTGTAAATTTTTGTTTCTCTCACTAACAATCTCACGGATTAGGCAGTTTCTTGCTGTAAAAATAGTTGCATAAGAAGAATGGAGCATCAAGTCATCAGTCAGGGGTCTTCAAATGAGGTATGATGTCTTTTTCTTTATATGATTGTAAAGAGATCAAATGAAATTTCTTGGTTTTATTTGTTCAATAGTCGACGACTAACCGTTGTTTATGCCTATTGTTTCACTAGGAAGACACTTCTACTGAGGGCAGTGGTGCTGGGACAGAATGTGTGTTGGACTACACTAATGAATTCACAACTGATGAGGTTTGTGCAAATTTAAATGTTGGCTTGTGACTTATGACTGTCTAAGTTGGACAAGAGATAATATTTATGTTTTTTTTTTTTTTT